TTTGTTAGAGGCTCTTTTGAAATTGACATCTCATCCTTCTAATGCCTCAAACTAGATCCTGTCCAGAATTGTTATAACAAGTTAGTATGAGTTTATGCTGGTGCAAAGAAAATTATGCACATATAAAGTAATTATTGTGGAGATCTTCCTCACACCAGACCCAGAAATTAACTCAAAATAGATCATAGACCCCAAACTTAAGAGTTAAAACTGTGAAACTCATAGAAGAAAATATAGGAGTAAATCTTTGTGATCTTGGGCTCTGCAATGGCTTTTTAGATATGACAGCAAATGCACAAGTCATAAAAGAAAAAACAAATAAATTATATTACATCAAAATGTAAAACTTTTGTGCATCAGAGAATACCATCAAGAAAATGAAAACACAGGGCCAGGTGCAGTGGCTCACGCCTGTAATCCCAGCACTTTGGGAGGCCAAGGTGCGTGGATCACGAGGTCAAGAGATCGAGACCATCCTGGCCAACATAGTGAAATCGCATCTCTACTAAAAATGCAAAAATTAGCTGGGCGTGGTGGCGCATGCCTGTAGTCCCAGCTACTCAGGAGGCTGAGGCAGGAAAAGTGCTTGAACCTGGGAAGTGGATATTGCTGTCAGCCGAGATCGTGCTACTGCACTCATGCCTGGTGACAGAGCAAGACTCCATCGCAGAAAAAAAAAGAAAGAAAGATGAAAACACAACCCACAAAATGGGAGAAAATAGTTACAAATCATATATCTGGTAAGGGACTTGTATCCAAAATATACAAAGAATGCATAATTCAATGGGAAAGAAAAAAGACAACCCTTGCCTTTGAAAATAGGCAAAGGATTTAAATAGGCATTTCTCCAAAAAAGATAGGCAAATGGCCAATAAAGAAAAGATGCTTAACATTACTAGTCATTAGAGAAATGCAAGTCATAACCACAATCAATAAAACTAAGACCCAAAATAACTGAAAAGTAGCTTAAGTATTTCCCGGGTATCTCATGGTAATACTCTCATGGGATATACTTTCAGAAGACATGGCAAATCATTATACAAATCTTCTTTCCATGTTGCTTTCTTTCTAGTACCTCCTGTCCTGTGGCTGCCCCCACTCCATGCTCTCCCTCTTTCCCTTGCTTCTCTAATCAGCATGTTCTCATGTCAGTCACCTGAGCCTTGCTGGTTTCTTTCAATTCACCTCTTCCCACCTTGCCCATATAACAGAAATAATATTTTTGAAATTCTCCCACAGGGAGCTGCCAGTCTCTCTTCCTGCTGTTATCATGGTCGTAAAGAAAGGAGCACGAGAATGCTACTTAATGGAAAAGATCCTGCCATGGGAGAAGGGTGAAGTCACAAAGGGACAGGGCAAAGTAGGTAGAAGTCTGTGTGTCCTGGCTTCCCACTGATGGTACAAATCCTGGAGAGGGTAGGGTTATATAGGATAAAGGGAAGGTCAAAAGCACCAGGGAAGGGAAGTCACAATAGAAGGTAAAGTCCTACATCTTAGGTGAAGCAAGCAAGGCTCCCCCAGACTCCTAGGTCAGGCTGGGGAGACTGCCAATGAGGATGCCTCATCGCCAGAAGTGATACTCAAAAGATTTAACAGCTAGCAAGGCAATTCCTATCACAAGACTTTGGCCCTAGCCTGGAACAAGTTCCCAGAGGTCCTGACTATGCCAGGTTATCAACTCTTCAGACAATAGATCCTGGGGAGGCCTGAGAAGGGGGTGTCCCAGGGGAGAGTAGGGAGAAGGGCAATGAGATTGAGGGGCTCGGGGCTCTGCTATGTAGTAACTGATTGGGAGGTATTTTAGTGTTTTAATAATCACTGTGCTCTTTCTGGCAAATTGCATGTTCCAGAAATGGCCATGACAAGATCTCACATTTCACATGCTCCTCTTAATGATGCAACTGACACTTCTGCCATTAAAAAATGGGATCTAAATTCCCTTTCCTTTAATCCAGAAGGAGGAGAAGAGTGATTGACTGTGAAAGAAGTGATGCTATATGACTTCCAAGATGAGGTCATTGAAATGTGATATAGCTTCCATTTGTTTCTCTTGGGACACTCCCTACTGGAACCCAGCCACCATGCTGTAAGGAAGCCAAACAGCCACATAGAGAAGCCACATGTAGGTATTCTGGTTGTTATAGACCTAATGTCCATGTATTCTCCCACTCCACCCCCCAAATTTGTATGTTGAAGCTCTAACTCTCAATGTGATGGTATTAGGGGATGGGGCCTTGGAAGTAATTAGGTTTAGATGAGGTCATGAGGGTGAAGTCCCCATGATGGGTTTAATGCCCACATAAGAAGATTAAGAGACACCAGAGCTTTCTCTCTCCACCATGTGAGGATACCATGAGAAGGCAACTGTCCACAAGCCAGGATGAGAGCCCTCTCCAAGAACTGTAATCTGCCAGCACCTTAATCTTGGACTTCTCAGCCTCCAGAACTGTGAGAAATAAATGTGTGTTGTTTAAGCCACCCAGTCTAAGGTGTTTTGTTATAGCACAGGAACTTACTAAGCCATTAACTGATAGACCCAGCTGAGGTCCTAGCAACAAGTCCTCACATGTGAGTGAGTGAACATTCAGATGATTTCAGCCTCCAGCTGTCAAGTCACCCTCAGCCTTTCAGTCATCCAGACGACATACAGACTAGACTTACCCACCAAGCCTGCTCAAATTGAAAACCTATGAGCAAAATGATTGCTGTTGTTTTTCAAAACAATAGATAACCAGAATCATCTTTTGCCACAGATGTCCTTAGGAATATCAGAATGACCACCTCTTCCTGGGTCCACACGTGAGCAGCCCAGGCAGCACCCTCACCCCCAACTCCAAGAGGATCTGAAGCCTTTACCTACCCCCAGATGCCATCTTGGGAAGCAGGGTTGGGAGGCAAGCAACAGCTTGAGTTGCTTTAACGCTCACCCCAACAGAGAGATTGTTTTAAATGAAAAGCTATTGGGGCCGAGCATGGTGGCTCATGCCTGTAATCGCAGCACTTTGGGAGGCTGAGGCAGGCAGATCATGAGGTCACAAGATCGAGACCAGCCTGACCAACATGGTAAAACCCCGTCTCTACTAAAAATACAAAAATTACCTGGGCGTGGTGGCATGCACCTGTAGTCCCAGCTACTCGGGAGGCTGAGGCAGGAGAATGGAGTGAACCCGGGAAGTAGAGGTTTCAGTGAGCCGAGATCGCGCCACTGCACTCCAGCCTGGTGGCGGAGCAAGACTCCATCTCAAAAAAAAAAAGAAAAAAGAAAAAGAAAAAAAGAAAAGCTATTTTGTTGCTTTATTTTTTATTATTCTTATGAGGGGTTTCTATACATCCATATTTGTTCTCCCAGAGTTAAATTTTTTTTTCAAATAACTTCAGTCTTACAAAAAATACTCCAAAACATAGTATGAAGACTTCCCATTTTAGCCACCACTTAGACTCCCCAACTATTAACATTTTAACTTGTTTTATCATTGTCTCTCTCTGTCTCTGGAAAGAGTTCTTTTTTAAAAATTAAAGAGAACAGGGCTTGGTTCAGGTGAGATGGAGTAAGTGCACTGTGCCCCACTTCTCCCAGTGAATGCAGCTATAAAATCTGGACAAAATGCAAGGAGTTACTATTTAAGAACTTTGAAAAATTAATGGTAACAGATAGATTGAGGGATAAAACCAGCATGTGAAGCACCATGGGGCCAGCAGTTAGTTTACTATTTTTTCCTCCAATATTTCCTGGGCTGGACTCAGTGCAGCTTGAAACCTGGAAATGTATACCAGCGCAGACAGAGAAATCTCCAGGAAAAGTCCTCTAACTCTGGTTTAAGGAGCAGAAAAAGGCCTCCAAATGCCCAGAATGAAGGACATTTCCCTTTATTTTTCTTTTTTCAATTCACTTGTACCCTATCCCCCAAGAAGTCCTTGTGATGGTGGCAGCAACAGCAATGATGGCCTACAAAGCCTAAAACTGACAGATAAGAACCTTCCTCTACAATCAGAGGAGCTATTGTCCTAAGAGGGTAGGACAGACTTCTCTTGCTTTTTCTGTCTATGTTCACTCACTGCTTGGTCCCAAACACAGGTATAGACATAGGCAGTGGCTGGCCTAACAGGATAAATAGGCCTCATACTTCTGATTAGAGAACCAAAAAGAGGAGCCTCCCAGAATTAAAAAAAAAAAAAAAAAAAAGTATTAAGAAGAGAGGGAAGAGCTTGGGAAAGTAACCGAATAAAGTTGCTATGAACTTCTGGGCTCATCCCTCTGTTTTGCATGTGTGAATTAAATACTAAACAACTCACACAGACTTTCAGAACTTAACTAAAGGATATATCACTGCCCAGGTCTTAGATAGACCACTGAGTGGTGCACATATAAGAACGGTCCAAATGACAGTGGAAAACCTTTGAAAACAGAACTGACACTGAAATCACTACCCGCAGAAGGCTGGTTGGAGCTCACAGCCTAAGTCCAATATGGTCAATTATCTGTTAAAACAAAAATACCAACATTCTCGATAGGATTTTTTAAAAAGGTTCAGAATATTATGAAAATCAAAATGTCTATGATATAGTCCAAAATTACTTGACTTGTGGAAAAAACATTAAAATCTCAGCTTACACAGGAAAAGACAATCAACAGATGTCAATGCTGAAATGACACAGCTCTTGGAGTTGTCTGGCAAAGTCTTTAATGTGGCTATTACACAAATTTTTAAACAAGTAAAAAATTTAAAATGTTCAAACAATATCTGAAGAAATAATGGCTGAAAACTTTCCCTGGATTCAGGGAAAATTGAATCCAGGAACTCTTTTGTGAAACAGGTTTCACCATGTTGGCCAGGCTGGTCTTGAACTCCTGGCTTCAAGTGCTCCATCCGCCTCAGCCTCCCAAAGTGCTGGGATTACAGGCATGAGCCATCGTGCCCAGCCTCAGGTATTCTTTAGAGCAGTGTGAGAATGGACTAATATAGGAGCACACACACAGAGACCAGAGAAAGATTACTCACATCTGCCTCCCTGTGTCCTAGACCATGTCACAGTGTTCTCTCAGGTCACAGTGTTCTCTCGGGTCACAGTGCCTCTGCTCTGTGTAGAAATAATCTGGAAATAAATAAAATGATAGAAAATTCATTTTTCATTTTTATTTATTTATTTTTTGAGACAGAGTCTTGCTGTGTCGCCCAGTGCAGTGGCAAGATCTTGGCTCACTGTGACCTCCACCTCCCAGGTTCAAGCAATTCTCCTGCCTCAGCCTCCTGAGTAGCTGGGATTACAGGAAAGTGCCACCACACCCAGATAATTTTTGTATCTTTTAGTAGAGATGGGGTTTCACCATATTGGCCAGGCTGGTCTCAAACTCTTGGCCTCAAGCAATCTGCCTGCCTCATCCTCCCAAAGTGCAGGGATTACAGGTGTGAGCCATCGCACTCAGCCAAGATGGAAAGTTTAAGCAAATAAAATAGAACATATAAGGAAGAACAAAGTGGAAATAAATAAAATGAGAACAACAACAACAAATTCCTGGATGGGCATGTAACCTGCATGGACCTTGGGGACTGAACAAAGGAGGCAAACATGGGAATAAAAGACAAAGAGTATGTTTGAAAGAAGGGGTCAGGGGGCTCCTTGCTTCTAGTGAACAAGGGCCCTGAGCTTTAGAGCCCTTCGCATTTATTGGGCAAAAGAGATAGTGAGAAGGGGGGATGGTGATTGTTGGTTGGCAGTTTGATTTACAGCAGGCTTGCAAGACTGCATTATTCAAATGATAGGCTCTAGATGTCCCAGTAGATAACCTCAATGAGCATGGCACCAGGGAGTGATTGCCCTTAGCAAACCTCCTGGTGGCAGGTGCAGTTGTGAGTTTGCCCACATCCTGCATTCAAGATAAACAGTTTGCTGTTCGATCATATAGCCTCCAGTGGAATGCTGAGTTGGTCATGATCCCTTTGGCCTTTTCAGCTCCCAGCATTTCCCCTTTCTGTTTATGAATTAATTGAAAGAATGTAAGGCCAGGCTGGGCAGCTCTCATTTTCCACTTGGCAGTCCATCTGATTTTACAGACTATGAACAGAAAACAGAGATCTGATTTTACAGACTATGAACAGAACAGAAAACGTTATTGAAGAACTACATATAAGATGTAAATGTGGTGCCTTAGATAGGCCCAAAGGCTGAGGCTCTCCAGGCCTTGCTGGAATTCGGTCCAGGCTTCTAAAGAAGGCTGAAACTCTTTTTTTTTTTTTTTTTTTGAGACGGGGTCTTGCTCTGTCACCCAGGCTGGAGTGCAGTGGCCGGATCTCAGCTCACTGCAAGCTCCGCCTCCCGGGTTCATGCCATTCTCCTGCCTCAGCCTCCCGAGTAGCTGGGACTACAGGCGCCCGCCACTTCACCCGGCTAGTTTTTTGTATTTTTTAGTAGAGACGGGGTTTCACCGTGTTAGCCAGGATGGTCTCGATCTCCTGACCTTGTGATCCGCCCGTCTCGGCCTCCCAAAGAGAAGGCTGAAACTCTTGAGTTTGCTTATTTAAATCAAGAATTTTGCTTTGTAATTCACCAATATCAAAGGTGATGTTGGATGTGAAAGCTCCCTGCAAATGGGCTTTCACAACGTCCCAGGGATACTCACTTTGCTTATATTCTAAGTTGATTACACAAATATGAGTGTGATTAAAATGACAGCACAACTGCTGTTGCAATTGTAAACTTTGTGCTTGTTCCCCTAACCATGGGGATTTCAACATTGTCACTTCAGTTTGTAACTCAGTGTTAATTTTATTCTGAGGTCACCATGCTTGGTTGGCTGTACTTGGTTGGCTGTGTCCAGTTCTCCATGCACAGAGACGTTTGAACAGAACTATGCAAAGCTACAGAGGACATCACAACAGAAGTTATTAGTGTGACTAAGGAAACAACAGCAAAAATTATCATGCCTAAGGCTCTACAGACACGATGAGTAAGTTGAGTTGGAAGATGTTTCACAAAGTGTAAAGCAGGGGTGGCAGCCCAAGGCTCGGACATATTAACAGGAATCCATCGTCCAGGGATGCAACCCAAAATTATCAAAGTAGGGACATTATGTGTTTGCGATGTGCTATGATTAATGCAGTGATATAACTGGCAAGATTTACAGGTCAATTGGGTATTGTTTACCTGGAGCTGGTCCTTCTTAGGTGCCAGAAACACATAAGGATTAAAAACACAAACTGTAAATTGAGTGGTGATATTCTTTACAAATTAACATTAAGACTGTGTTGTGACTCCGGTCGGCCTTCTCTCCATCTTCGCAGTCAGGCTCAGCTGGCTCATGACCTGTACCAGAGAGACCGGGCCCATGGTTGGCCACCCTGGGTTCCTCCAGTCTCCCGTTCCATGGCCACACACACCTCGAGGGCACCCACGCGGTTTGTCCACCTCTTGTAAAAACACAAGCATACCCTCTTCCCCACGTCAGTAAATCCACCAGACCTGTCCATCGTCCTTCTTCTGGGGATTTCTATAACACTTTTGGATAAACTTTCCTCTTTTCCTCTAACACTTGTCAATGTCTTTCTGCTGGAGTCTTACCATCCATACCAGGAGTCAAAAAATTTAAAGTAAATAAAGCTAAATGTAATTTTGTTTGAGGTGGTAACTGGTCTCCTACTCCCCCTTTTTGTTTATTCAACATACATTGTAATGTTTGATGTGCCCGCTCTATAATGCCTTGTCCTGGAGGGTTGTAAGGAATTCCTTATGGGTTATAGCCCAAAGGTATAACAAATTTTGAAAAGCATGACTAGTATAAGCGGGTCCATTGTCAGTTTTTAATTGTTTAGGAATCCCCATATGAGCAAATGATGACAGACAATGTGGCCGTACATGACCAGCTGTCTCACTGGTTTGGCATGTAGCTTGCAGCATATGAGAATAAGTGAATAAGTGAAACAAATTAAGCAGTTCTGGGTCCAGTGTACTTTTAATTGTAGCAGTTTCTATGCAACTGGCTACATTTACAACATAAGCTGAATCAAAGACAATGTTGATAGGATCTGCAGCTGTGAGCTGTAAAACCTAAATGACTGCGATCAACTCTGAACGTTGAGCTGAAACCCCAGAGGTCATTATTGTTTGAGTATGTTTAGGTCCATAAATAGCTGCACGACTTTTGGAAGAGCCATCAGTAAAATAAGTCTGGCCACCTGGAAGAAGCTTGTGATGAGTAATCACAGGAAGAATGAAAGAATGGACTTTATAAAACTGCAAAATTTTGTCTGAGGGATGATGAAAGCAAAGGTTTCTGCAGCTGTAGCCAGGAGGCATGCCGTTGCTGAGCTCAACTTCTGCCTCTTTGGTTAATTGCCATGGGGAATTTAATGGAGAATCTCCCTGCAGGGTTTAACCTGTCTTTCCAGTTACTGATATCGGGTTAGGGTTCCCTTGTAGGAATTTCCCTAAACCTTTCCCACTCTGATATCCCACATCCTTCAACATTTTAAATTGTGGGTTATCAAAGTTTTCATTTGTAAGTCTCATATCCCATGCTGTAAGTAAGTCTTGATCCCATTAATTGATAGCTATATTTTCAATGTAAGGCTGAAAAGTACACAATTGTCCATCCGGACCAAGACAACATAAAAATCTCAGCACTCTGTTGAACACTTTTAGCTGCTCCTATTCCCACTAGGGATGTGGAGGTTAGCGGAGAGGCCATGCTGGGGGCCAGTCCTTACTGGATATTACTGACACATCCGCTCCACTGTCCATAAGCCCATAAAATTTCTTTCCTTTAATATGTACTACACGGGTGGGTCTATTAGAGGCTATAGGTTGTGATGAATAGATTTCTCATGTAGTTGTGCTCCCAAACCCTTTATTTCCTTGTTTCTCCTTTCGTGGAGAAGGGTATAATTTCCTGTGAATAAGCAATAATTGCACTATATATTCTCCCAGTTCAAAAACCCGAAGATCTTGTGACGTTAAAACTACTTGAATTTCTCCTTCATAATCGGAGTCGACAACTCCTGGGACTACAGTGATGCTCTGCAAGTTAAGGTGGTTTGTGCCTAAAATTAGTCCCATGTATCTGTCTGGTAAAGGTCCCCACATGGCAGTGGGAATTTTGATAGATATGTCTCCACCAGCTAACATTACCTGTTCTCTAACTGGGAGATCTAATCCTGCACTTCCTGGTGTTCCTGGAGTGAGGGAATCAATGTTTCTCCTGGGACCCACCCCTGAAATGGGGTTGTGGTCTGAACTGGGAATGCCCTCATTGTTTGAGGGACCCAGGTCCAGGCCCCCTTCTCATTTCCCGACAGTAGGGGTTGCCATTCTGATGAAATCTTGAGCGGCACTGATTAGCCCAGTGATTTCCTTTGTTACAGCGAGGACAGAGTCCTGGCATTTTTTCCACTATGGGGGGGGACTGCATTATAAGATCCCTTCTGTCCTGAGATCTGGCGGCATTCCTTTTTAAAATGTCCAGTTTTTCCACAATTACAACATTTTCCTACTTTAGGGCTTAATCCTTGGCTCCTTTTAGATTTGCCAACTACTAGATTAGCCATTGCTTGTGCTAACATTGAAGAGCGATGAAGTTCGGTTCCTACATCCTGACAAGCTCTGAGAAAATTTCCCAAGTTTTCTGTACACTTCACAGGTGCCAGTGCACGTTTACAATCTGCATTTGCATTCTCAAAAGCTAAAGTTAAGGTTAGCATTTCCGTGGCAATGGCATGAGGAATTTGATGCTTCACTGCCTCTTGTAATCTTGCAAGAAATTGCGCATAGGGTTCCTGTGACCCTTGCATGATATGTAAAAAGGATTGTACTGGGACTCCCTCTTCAGGAATCGTGGCCCAGGTGCGTTTAGCAGCCTGTGCAGTCTGCTGATAAGCAGCATCTGGGAGTGCCATTTGCCGTTCCAGGTCTGAATAAGGGCCATTACCCAACAGCATATCCTCTGTAATGTCTCCGTGTCCAGCAACATGGTTCTATCTAGCCTGGTCTGCACACAGTTCTTGCCAATTTAAATTCCATGTCAGATATGCACTAGTAGACAAGCAAGTTTGAGCCAAGTGTTTTACATCAAAGGGTAGAAGACACATACCACCAAATGCAGATTCTGGCAATCCTAAAGTGAATGGGCTCTGTACCCCATTATTAATTACACTCATTTTTAATTCCTTCAACAACTTAAACTCTAGTAGGGTGTGTTCATGAATAAACTGCTGTGGATTATTTGGATCAGGCCTTACAGAAATAGGAAAAGTGCAAGGTCCTAGGGGCTCTCCAGCTATGGAAGCAGAGCGTAAATTTCTTTGCATTGGGGTCTCTATTTCTACTACCAAAGGAGGCAGTACAGACGTTTCTGCAACTGGAGGGGGCGGTATAGGCCAATTTTTATCCTCCCTCTCCTGTTTTTTATTTTCAATTGGAGCTGTGGGTGGGACAACAGATTCTCTCAGATTTTTAGACTCAGCCTGCTGTCCAGCAGAATAATGAGGAGATAATGGTGGAAGAACAGTACGAATTAGACTCCAAGTGGAGAAAACAGAAGAATCAACTTTAAGACCTTTTTGATGAGCCTGTTTTAATCCTTCTCCTGGTCTATCCCAATTGTTCACGTCAAGAGTGCCTGCCTGTGGAAACCATGGGTTATGTGTAATAACATTTTGTGGCTTCTGCAGGAGGTTAGTTAGTGCCTGCGAATTAACCTGAGCTCCAGACTGTCTCAACAGAACTTGAAGCAACTGCACATAATGTTTTTCTTCAATAGATAAATTCTGCTTCATGTTACCCTGATTCAGAAAACTTCCCATTCCCAGTACTTATTTAGAGCACCGACCTTATATCATTCCCAGTACTTCTTTAGGGCACTGACCTTATATCCGCTGTCGGCAGACTCATCCTGGGGTCCCCATGCGTCTTGTCAATTTCAGTTCCTCTGCTCCAGCAGATCTTCTTTGTTCACATCCTCAAAGTATCTGTGTTCGGATGCCACTTATCTGACATCCTTGGAGTCCCTGTTCTGGGTCGCAATTTGTCACCTGCATGGACCTTGAGGGACTGAACAAAGGGGGCAAACGTGGGAATAAAAGACAAAGACAAGAGAGTATATTTGAAAGAAGGGGTCAGGGGGCTCCTTGCTTCTAGTAAACAAGGGGCCTGAGCTTTAGAGCCCTTTGCATTTATTAGGCAAAAGAGACAGCGAGAAGTGGGGGGTGATTGTCGGTTAGCAGTTTGATTTACAGCAGGCTTGCAAGACTGCAGTCTTCAAACAATAGGCTCTAGATGTCCCAGTAGATAACCTCAGTGAGCACAGTGCCAGGGGGTGATTGCCCTCAGCAAACCTCCTGGTGGCAGGCGCAGTTGTGAGTTTGCCCACATCCTGCATTCATGATAAACAGTTGGCTATTTGATCATATAGCCTCCAGTGGAATGCTGAGTTGGTCAAGATCCCTTTGGCCTTTTCAGCTCCCAACAGATGGGTACAATAGCAGAATGGAGATTGCAGGGAAACATGCCAGTGATCTCGAAGATAGGAAAATAGAAATTATCCAATCTGAACAACAGAGAAAAAGGACTGGGGAAAACTGAACAGAACTTCAGGCACCTGTGGAGACAATTCCAAAATATCTAATGTTTGTGTTATCAGGATCTGAGAAGAACAGGAGAAACAGAATGGAGCAGAAGAAAATATCTCAAGAAATAATGGCTGAAAACTTCCCAAATGTGGTGAAAGGCATACACCTATATACTCAGGAAGCTGAGTAAACCACAAACAGGATAAATGCAAGGAAATCCAACCCCCATTTTTCAGGTTTTAGAGCTTCAGGGAAGGAGTCACTTCCCCTTGTCTTCAGGGATGCTTATGACTTCAGACTGAAATGATTCCCTGTCTCCTGTTACACAAAGAGAGTAAAAATAAATTTAATCAGAATGATATTAAATGAAAGTCAGAATCTCCTGCTCTTTCTCCCAGTTCCACCTCTTAGAGTCATTCACTTTCTGTTTTTAGTTCTGGTTTGCTAAAGGGTGATCCCAAAGAACTTAAATACTTAACAGAGTTGTTAATTAATAACTAGGTTATATATAAACAGAATCTAAACTAATTTAGAAAGGAACTCTCCCAGTTATTTAAAAAAATCAGATAAATGATTAATAAATGCCCCTTGTCCTCAGGTCCAATTCATCTCAGATCTGGTGGCTGAACTGATAGCTACATGCTTTCCTGTGTTTTCTCAAAGCACTGAGGAAGAAGTGGTGCAAATGTGAGGTTCTTGGGAAGCCCCATGTATATAAACAAAGCTTATATACATGGATTGGGATGGCCACTGTCTCAAAAGCAGGTCTATGTTTTGAACTGATACCCAATTCAGAGCCATGAGACAGACCACAGGATGAATGTGAGGCAAGCCTTATCTTGCTAGGCTTCAGGGAAAACTGAATCTAGGAACTCTCTTGCCCCTGGTTGCTCTCATTCTCTATCATTTATTCTCTCTGCAGTCTGATTTTCTCTAGGTGGTGTGAGGCAGTGTCCTGGCAACTGCTGGGGCCTTTTTAAAATTTCATCTTTCAATATCCAGTCTTCCATTCTATGAGCACAGAACCTCTGATTTTAGTTGGGTGTGTTTACATCCAGAATGAAGACTATATTTCCTAGCCTCCCATGCAGCTAAATTTGACCATATAACTGTTATAGTCAATGTGAAGTATGAGGGGAAGAGATGTGTGCAATTCTAAGTCATGCCCTTAAAGGAAATGGGAATGTACCCTCACATTCCTCCTTTCCCCCTTGCCACTAGTTGAGATGAAAATATATTGGAGAGCCAATTTGGACCATGTATATGAGGGTAGGATTCTAAGGATGGGGAGCCACAAGTAGAAGAAGGATGAGTCCCCGGGCAGCCTGTGAAGTCCTACCTGCACTGAACCATCTGCCTCTGAACTGTTACATGAAAGAGACAGCAACTTCAGTCTCTTTTCAGCCACAGTTAATTTGATTCTGTTACAGCCTGTATTCTTACACTATTAAAATTTCCAGAGCAGTCACAAGCTCACTGAGATTTTAGGAAAGGGGACATAGATGAGGGTAAGCGTGTCGAAAAACTGTGAGGTCATGTTTAAAACACTACAGGGTGGTTTCCCCCATGCTGTTCTCATGATAGTGAGTGCGTTCTCATGAGAACTGGTAGTTTTATCGGTGTTTGACAGTTCCTCTTCACGTACTCTCTCTCTTGCCTGCCACTATGTAAGATATGCCTGCTTCCCCTTCTGCCATGATTGTAAGTTTCCTGAGGCTTCCCAGACATGCAGAACTGTGAGTCAATTAAACCTCTTTCCTCCATAAAGTACCCAGTCTCAGGGTTTTTTTTGTTTGTTTTTTGTTTTTTGACAGATTCTCACTCTGTCACCTAGGCTGGGGTGCAGGGGTGCAATATTGGCTCACTACAACCTCCGCCTCCTGGGTTTAAGCAATTCTTATGCCTCAGTCTCCCAAGTGGCTAATTTTTTTGTATTTTTAGTAGAAACTGAGTTTCACCATGTTGGCCCGGCTGATCTTGGATGCCTGGCCTCAACTGATCTGCCCACCTCAGCTTCCCAAGGTGCTGGGAATACAGGCATGAGCCACCGTGCCCAGCCTCAGGTATTCTTTATAGCAGTGTGAGACTGGACTAATACAGAAGTACACACACAGAGATCAGAGAAAGATTAGTCACATGTGCCTCTTTATGTCCTAGACCATATCACAGTGTTCTCTTGGGTTACAGTGTCTCTGCAGGTACTGCTCCTTCTGCCTCCCCTTACCCCAACACACAGACACAATTGGCCTTCTAACCTTAGCTAAACCTAGCTAACTCAGGGAACTATCTGACCACATTACAGACTAAATCAGGCATCTCTGTTATATTAACATGCCTCTCACAGCATGTATTACTATCTCATAGTATTATAGATTTGAAACTTTACATTTATTCCATATCTTTTTTTTACTTAAACAGGTTATTTGATTATCTCTCTCACCTGATACGTAGATTCTGTGAGGTCAGGGACTAGGTCTGACTCCTTCACTGCTGTATCCTCAGCACCAAGGACAGTACATGACATATAGAAGGTGCTTGTCAAAGTCAAAATAAAATATAGAGATGAATCTCTAAATGTAATGTTTTATTTGGGGAAGCAGGAATTGCAACTTGGAGCATACACACAGATCTGGTGGTCTTTGGTATGTCCAAAGAACAAAGAGAAAGCTGGGAGTTTTATAAGAAAGAGAAATGTATTGTTTTGAAAGAAAGCACATTGGCACTAGTAAAGTTTCAGGGAGCTGGCAAGCTCTGATTGGTGACTGACAGTGGTAAGTAAAACTAGTATTAGGTTATGGCAGGTTGTTTCAGCAGTTACTAGCTCAATCTGGTCTTAGCGAGACAGCAGGTCATTTCTGCAGCAGAGTCAGTGGAAATATTAATTCTTGGAGCAGGTGCTGTGTGCCTCCACTGCTTTTCCCCTGGCCACTGGATTCTGATTCCGTTGGGCATAACAAGAGTGACCCAATTCGTATTATCAACTTTCACATGCTCAATAAGAATGTATGCATGTAAGCTATGGGTGAGTGAATGAATGAATTTGGACAACTCCTCCTCCAGTGAAGAAAAGCAGAACTCAGAACCTCGAGCCACTTATAAAATGCTAACATAGTACCACCTGTGCTCTGTCTTCTCAGAACCATGCCCTTCCCAGGATAAGTAACTGTGTGCTTAGAAGTGGAAACCTGATAACAGTCACCCAGTCAGTGACTGGCGGACCCCCTATTATTACTCCCATTCTTTGGGCAGGGAGATGCTTAACCCGCTGCAAGCACAGAGGAAGGGCGGGAGAACGAAGAAGTCACCTGGCAAACACAGCTGCATCCGGAGGCCTCGAGGCTTCCGGGCTTCCGGTCCCTCTTCCGGAGGCCTGGGTTTCCGGGACGTGCGCGCCGTGTGGGGCGCGCACGCAGGGCTGGGCGTGAGGGGGCGTGCGCGTGCGCAGGCGACGAGCCGAAGGACTAGGCAGAGCCGTGGAGCCATCGCCAGGTCGCTGTCGCTCCACGCCGCCCGTCGCGCTGCCCGCCCGCTCAGCGTCCGCCGCCGCCATGGGAGTGCAGGTGGAAACCATCTCCCCAGGAGACGGTGAGTAGTGGCGCGCGGCGGCCCGGAGTACCGCCGCCGCGCGCATCCGCTCACCGTGCCCGTCTCTGTCTCCTCAGGGCGCACCTTCCCGAAGCGCGGCCAGACCTGCGTGGTGCACTACACCGGTGAGTCGGGGGCCAGGCGGGGTGGGGGCCTGGGCCAGAGTCCCAAGCCCGGGTGCGACTGGCCGCCAAGGCCTGGGGGCCCGGGGCGTGGCGGCGGCGAGGCCCGCATGGCCTGAGGCTGAGGCCTGGGCGGTGGCTCAGGGGCAGCCCCGGGCTTGCGGAACCCGGGCGGGTCTGAATCGGCGGTTGTGAGCGCTGGCTGCGGGCTAGGCGTTATCTAGCCTATCAGAAGCATTTCTGCACCTTAGATGCTGCCCTTTTGCCCACTGCACAGATGAGGAAACTGAGGCTTGGCGAGACGAAGTCACTTTCCCAAGGTCACACTTTCAGGAATGGTCAGAGCTCTGGCCTGGGACCATTAGGAAGGATTTGTACCATTTCTGTGCCCCTGCCCCTACTTCCATCCCTCCCTTCACTGGAGATAAGTACGAGGTAATTGCGAGTCTGCAGAGCTGCTGCTTCCTCCGGGGAACTCGGAATTCGCCCCTTTGCCGCGGGTGGGGAAACATCCCACTTCCTAAGTCATTGCTTTGGCTCTTCCTGGCCTTCAGGGAAGTAGAGCTGCACGGCCTTTTTCCGTCTTTTTACTTTTGAGCCACTTACAAATCCAAGGCTTAGTGGTAGCGATGGCTCAGGCTGACCGAAAGCTGCACGTGTAATTTAGTCCCCCAGCTCTTCTAAAAGTAGAGACTTTTCTCATCTCCATTTTAAAGATAAAGAATCTGGAGGCTAATAAACAGTGATAATATAAGCCAAAGGAAATTTTAGACACCTCCCCCTCCCCAGCCAGAATTCAAACATCAGAGTCGTGTGCCTTGGGACCCTCTTTTACTCCTTGCCCTTACAAGGTCGTTCTGGTTTGTACGGACGGGGGGAGGGCGAGAGCTGAGTTGGCGGAGACACCGTGTCTGTGGGCTGTTGGTCCTGCAAGGGTGGGAGTGATTGGTGTAGCCACAGTTGTTAATACGAATAACCTTCCCTCCTCCTCCTCCTTCCCCTTTCTCAACCTTCCCACCCTTTCCTCTGTTCCTCCTCCTCCTCCTCCTCCTCCTGTTTTCCCACTCCCTCTCCTCCTCTTCCTCCTCCTGGGTAGTAGGCTGTGGGCAGTTTTGGCCAAGTTGCTCACGAATAAACTCCACCTTTCCCTTCCAAATCATGGAAACATGGAGGGATCCCTCTATTGAGGGAAATGACTTTCACTGGAAAGAGGAAAAGGCAGCCAACATCCCTCTTCCCATGCCCTTTTATTTCTATGGCCCTTCTCCATGGGTAGAAATGGGAGCAGGAGGTAGAAGTTAAGGACTAGCACTTTAAAAATGCTGCCAAAGGAGGAGTTACTGAAACCCATCTTTGTGGGGAGCAGTCTCATGTCTGTGAAAGAATCTGGAAAGTGCTTTTGATGTTTTAGATAGCTGTCCTTGTAGGCCACAGTCAGCACCTGAGCCTGGGAGGTCTGGTAGATGAAAGTGCATCCGTTTGGTGATTTTTGATCCGAAGGATGAGAAGAATAACCATTTACAGTGCCAGGGTGAGTGGGCAGTTCATTCAGTTCTGCAGCCAACTGGGGCAAAGACTGGGACTCCAGTCGTGAGGAGCTGCC